CATACTTTCGGTCCCACTAGGAAGGTGGCAGCTGTTAAAGACACATAGCCCACCCTGGCCAAAGGCGTTCAACCAGCAGATTTACCACAGTCCTGGACCTGCAGAACACCCTGCAGCTACTCCACATGTTATACTAAGCGCCAAGGTGGGTTCCCTCATGCAGGATCTAGTGGCCCGAGATCATAGGCCATCCCCACATTTTTCTTCCAGCAGGATCTGGGTAGTCCACCAATGTGAAAACCAATGCAGATAGCTGCTGCAATGGCTGAGTAGCTTAGGGAAACTTACTGGAAGAGTCTTGAAGTAGAAAAAAGTGCAAGTTTTTGACCGAGCAGTAAAATCAGTTTCTTGAAGTACAGTATGCAGGCAGATTCAGAGATGACTAGGTTGCATGGAGGTATTACCAGGTGATTGGGAGGGCCCTGTGGCATGTACTGTACTCCAAGAAACAGATTTTACAGGCGCATCAAAAATACTTTCCCTGATTGTACATTATAGGACACAAATTCAGAGATGACTGGGACTTACAAAAATGATAGAACTGAGGAGTGGGCAATACAACAGCCACCAACAGGGCCACAAATCAAGGGGAAAACCTCAACTCTGATAGAATCATGTAGCTTCTCACCGCTTAAACTAGCAGCAGCAGACACCCAAACATCCACCTGGTGAAAATGTCAACAGAAGAGGCACTGGGATCTATTAGAGTGCACCTTGACATTAAGAGGCAGAGTTGTACCTTCAGCAGAATAGGCACACACAATGACCTAATTCATGGACAAGATCCTGAGAACATCATCAGTATAATCCACTACAGTGGAAAGAACTTTCTGTCTCCAGCGCCACCAACCCAGCAAAAGCCTCACCTTGTCCACCAGACACATGGTTTGCAGAGAGTGGGGGGGCAGGCGGGAGACCATACTACCGAGCCTGACCCACATCCAGGAAAAAGACCCAGCACCTCCAGACAGACTTTCCAACTTTCAAGGTTGAGGATCCAACCACAGTGTCCCAGCCAGTCTCTGGACATTATCCGTTGGACTGGGCCATTAGCAGAAGGGAGTTAAGTATTTCACATGGTGGACACCATGAAAACCAACTGGCAAGGACAGGATCCAGCACTTTCCAGTGGAAACACCAAAGGGAAGAAATTTGAAATCTCTCTCCCAAGGCAAAGCGCGGGAATTGCTGGTGCAGAGGAAATATCTGCACATGCAGGTAAGTATCCTTGATATCTACTGAAGCAAGAAGTCCCCTTGTTGAAAGGAGGTAATGACTGGCTGTGCTGATTGTTCTGGAACATGCATATCAAAAGAAACTTGATATTTCGAGTCTTGGATGGGGTGCAATGCTCCATTTGGTTTTGGACCCGTGATCAAGTTGGAGTGAAACACCTGGTACCTTTCCTCCTGATGTCGGCAGTTGCTGCAACGACCCTGCAGAGCCTTTTTCCACTGGGGAGGGCAAATTCGGACAGAAAATCAGGGTGGGGGCTGAAATTCTAGCATACAGACCCACTGATCCCAATTTCAAAACCCAAACGGCCGCAGTTCCTGAGGATGGCAACCCTGCCCCCACCATTGGTGGCTACGGAGCTGCCTTTTTGCCCCGCAGACCCTTTGCCAAAGTAAGGTGTCCATAAGGAAACTCCGACTGGAATCTGAAAGGTTAAGGGTGCCTCAAAATACCCATCACCAGAAGTTTGTCTGTCTAGGAGTCAGTCCCCACTGGTCCAATTTAGGCCCCGTTCACATTGAGCGGTTCGCAAATCGCACATTTGTCACGCAATTTGCATTTTGCGCAAATGCTTGCATTGAGCAAGCTTGAATCGTGGCTAAATCCGCTCCAAAAAGGGTCCTGCTGTAGCGACACGACCGCAGGACCCTTTGCCCCATTGAGAAGCATTGGAGAGCGATATCACGCGGTAAATTGCCGCGATATCGCAGGAATTACCGCGCGGTAAATCTCTCAATGTGAACGGGGCCTTAGTGTGTCTACCCTCCAGGTGGAGGAGCAAGATGAGCACTGCACTACTGTGCAGGCATGGCTAGCCAAGTAGTAACATTGCTACCTCCATGCGGCTGCTAGTCCAGTGGTAGAAACAGATTTCCACAGCACGTGGCCAAGGCAGGGTTGGAGTGCTGGGGGCGGGAAGGAAAACCAAGGCAGATGGTTTATAGAACTCCAGAATACATGTGTCCCCTGGGAGGAATATGGACTTCACATTAGATGAGACTTCTCCAAAAAGGGGATCTTCAGGTATATTTGGGGGGGGGGTAACATCAGTGCAGATACACCACTGCCCTACAGTTGTGTAGCACCGTACTATCCAGGTGCCAAGGGGGGGCATCTAACCCAGGATCCAGAGGGGTGGACACCTCCAAGAGCAAGCCTCGCCCACATTGGAAACCTGCCTGACAAGGAGACAACTAAACCGCAGTTTAGAAGGACCTCCTTTTACATTGGATCCATGACATTTGATGTAGCATTGCCTCAAAGTCTTACCATGAAGAGGAGAGAAAGAACACTCCCCCCCCCACCTGTGCTATGAAATGATATAAAAGATCCATGAATGAATGGGCAGCCCCACTACATGAGCAATATTGCATCAGGTGTCAATGGGGGCTAGTTCTAGCAATTGGCTCCTCATACCAGGGGGGAGGAATGTTCTCCAGCATCTAGAGCTGCAGCTAACGATTATTTTCAAAATCAGTTAGCCGATTAAGTTTGATTAATCGGATAAAAAATTGGAGTTACGTACCTGGTAACTCTGTTTCTAGGAACCTTCCAGGACATCATTAGAGAGATAGGCTCCTCCCACCGGAAACAGGAAACACATCACCCACACCTGGAATAAAAAGAGTCCCAGCCTAGCACACTTCAGTTAAAACATAAGAACCGAAGGATACCACATCACTACCCCCTTAGGTAAAAAGAAAATTACTTTTCCCTTTCCCCTTCTTGTTCCAATTCCGATTTTTGGATTGCCCCCCCCCCTCTTTATTTAGCAGACCTCTTTTACTCGGCTGGTAACGCTGACTTTTAAAGCCTTTTAACGGCCGGAAGTACATAAAACGCGTCACTTCCTCCCTCGCTGCTCGTCCGCCGGGATATTCATCCCCCATGCCGCACGAGGACCCCCGCCCTCACAGCTCGCTGTATGCAGCCTCCCGCCGGAGCCAGGGTCCTCGAACGCCGCCACCGACCTGTCCATCCAACTGCACTTCACACAGGTAGGGAATCTGCCACACACAGCTTTTGAAGCAGAGCACAGCTTTTGAAGCAGAGGCTTGCGCCGGGGGAACTCCAGAGAGTCCGCCACACCAGCAGGTCTAGTTGCCCTGCACACACTAGTGCAGTTAAACTACAGGCAATGTTCTCTGGACGGTTGGGGCTGCCCTGGAAGCCCCCTTTCATGGGTACCCTAGGTCCACTGACCCTCTGCTGTACCCATGTCTGGAGGAAGCCCCTGCACACTAGCACGTAGGCCTAGGAAAAAAATAACAAACGTTACGATGTCCTGCTCGGCCGGAGGAAACACAAAAATAACTAAGTGTACTAGGCTGGGACTCTTTTTATTCTAGGTGTGGGTGATGTGTTTCCCGTTTCCGGTGGGAGGAGTGTTTCCGGTGGGAGGAGTGTTTCCGGTGGGAGGAGTGTTTCCGGTGGGAGGAGTGTTTCCGGTGGGAGGAGTGTTTCCAGTGGGAGGAGTGTTTCCAGTGGGAGGAGTGTTTCCAGTGGGAGGAGTGTTTCCAGTGGGAGGAGTGTTTCCTGTTTCCGGTGGGAGGAGTGTTTCCTGTTTCCAGTGGGAGGAGCCTATCCCTCTAATGCTGTCCTGGAAGGTGACTAGAGTAAATACATTTTAGAAAATGGCTCGTGATGGGACTACTAGTTTGTATTGAGATTGCAGTCCATCACAGGAGCAAGCTTGGAGCAGTGGAAGTAAGTGTACAATATAGTGAAGTGTAAAATTATACAGCAATGAATGCAGAATGGCACCGGCTATAGAGGACTACAAATCCCAGCAATAGTACATTATACAGCGCATATGTGGAATACCACCAGCTATAATGTACCATTGCTAGTGGTATTAAGCATTGCACCACTGTATAATGTATTATTGCTGGTGGTATTCCACATTGCACTGTATAATGTATAATGTATAATGTATAATTGCTGGAATTTGTAGTCCTCTATGCAATGCAGAATACCACAAATCCCAGCTATACATACAATATATAATGTATTCCTCTATAGCCAATTGTGCTATTATACAGAGCAATGCACCATCAGCTATAGAGGAATACAAATCCCACCAATACATTATAGAGCACCATGTGTGGGAAAGTGCAGGCTTACATGAGCAGTCTTGCAGCAACTTGCTTGAGATCGGACCTGTCTATCGGAGGCTGTCATTCCCACACCTGCTCCTCCTTACTTCTCCCCGCGTCCCTGTGCCGATCTTGGATGTGGGCGGTGAGAAGGTCCGGCAGAGGCGAGCGCATGTGTGGAGCCGTGAACAGGGCCAACTAATCAGAAGCAGAACCATTCCCAGGAGTTTCTGGAAAGGTCTGCCACAGCTAAAGCTCATGCTGCCTAATTGAATATCAGTGGGTTAGAATCTAATACTCCAGAAATGCCAACTCTGCCATAAGGAGTGCCAACTATTTCAGGTGCATAAATTGTAGGAGAGCACTTCATTTTCTTTATATACTAGACACAATTAGCGCTGTAGCAATAGCCACTTAAACCCTTCCAAACCAAGCATTTCACCACAATTTTTATTAAAAGACTTTTATTTAAAGTGCCACAGTTTGACTTAAAAATACATTAAAAAAATTTACAAAAAAAAAAAGCTGCCAACAAGCAGCAGTTCCCCTGCAGAGTACACAGCACCCTTTAAAATACCCCCAAGCTGTACAAGTTTTTGTACCCATGAGTGTTTCATGCTCCTACTGTAAACTAGCATGTGCCAAAACAGACACTATAGTTGATCTGTCAGAAGGGATGAGCGTCCACATCTGATGGAGATAATGCCGGTAGCTTATAGTTCTCCACTGTAACAGGTTTCCATTCACCTTACAGTCTAGAACCTGCATACTGAAAGTAACCAAGTCACAGCAGACAGATTTTTTTTTTAAATAGTTCATTTAGAAGTCCGCATCTAGAGTGAATTTATGGTCCGATGTCTTGGACATGACCCCCATCTTCTGATATTCACCAACTTTCTTCTCAAAGAAATTGGTCTTCCCTTCCAGTGAAATGTTCTCCATGAAGTCAAATGGATTTTCTGCTCTGAAGAACTAAAGAAAAAAGCAAGTTAGCAGGTCCAATAAATAAGACAAAATGCTTTCATACCGCACATAGCTATAAAACTATGGTGAACCCATTGAAATAGCAGAAAGGTTCCAGTATAATACACAGCCACTAGAGGCAGGGATTAGATCAATGGGAACTTGTAGTAATCCAGCAGCACCATTGTAAGAGCCAGGAAATCACAATGAGGGATGCTGTAATTGTTCTACTACATGAAAATAAAGTGTATTCTACTACATGAAAAGTATTAAGTTTGCAAGTTGAGCTACACACCTGAAAATGATTGGCTAGAGGAATCTCCTTTGCAGTGCTATTGTATACCGACACCAGTGCTTGCAGATGTCAGAATAACCAGGCCACCTACAGCCACTTGGTTGCAGTCAATGTTTGGACTGACATCAAAACTGATGTGCCAACATGGCCCATACACATCTCTCATTTCCTGCAGATTCTGCTAAACACGAATGCAGTGTATGGCCAGACTCTCTGCAAGGACTGCAAAGATCTACAGCACACTCCGCTGCCCAGTTTAGTACAAGTTGGAACACTTATGCTGCCGTGCCCCCCCCCCCCCCCCCCCCCCCGCCCTTCGCCCTTGAGCGCTGTATTTTGGTACATTGTCCTTATAACTTTCCAATGGTTTGGGGGCAGACAACCCTCTTCCTCAGGGCTTAAGATTATGGAATGGAAGGATTGGACTCAGAATGATTATTCAAAATATGGGTCTTATCTTTTCCCAAAGTAAATGAAGCTACCTTCAGGCCCAGAGTTTGGGCATTTAGGCACTGTGACCTGTGTTCTTTAAAGTCTACACAAGGCCAACTTTTGCTCCCGGCCCCCCCCCCCCCCCCCCTTTGTTTTCCAAGAGCATTGGATTTCTCTAGCGAGCTATGGAGTGCTAGATGTAGAGTGTTGGTAGTTGCCGATTACATTTTATGTCCAGTTACCTTGCTAAAGCCCAGCTCCAACAGGAGACGATCTGCTACAAACTCAATATATTGCTTCATCAGGTCACCGTTCATGCCGATCAGTTTCACAGGCAGTGCATCAGTCAAGAATTCCTAGAGAAGGGAAGATTTATAGTCCAATTTAGCATTTCTTCATCTAAAGGAATAAGTTAGTGTTTTGCTCATGTTCCAACTCCTGTTAGAATCAGCTTATGACTGTAGTGAGAGTTTGGATATAAGACTTAAAGGGTAGTCACATCAAACACATGAATGAATTGGTAAGCAGGTTGCCTACAGTGATCATTTTCCAGATAAATGAATTTTGATTAGTCCTGTAGATATCTAGTATAACCATTACCCTTCACCTCCAATGGCCCTGTAGCGAGCAATAGGGAGGTGGAAGGATGCAGTAGCATGCCGTTCTGAATGAGAGAATCGCTTTGCCATGCAGTTTAACAGAAAGTAGACCTTTCATAATCATTGTTATACTTCATCCATTCAGGGGGGTGATGTCTCCATTGCCTCTAGCTCTATTTTGTATTGGCTGCTATGCTATCACAGCTATTTTTGTGAAGTTTAGGTACTTTAATGCAGGAGGCACCAGGGTAGATCAGGTTGTCTCATTTATAACAGACTACATGTTCTAGTAACCCACCTAAGTGCCCAATTTAGCCCTAAACCACCAAATCAGGTCTAGAGATGCTATGCACAAAGATAAAATGACAAGACTTGCTCTTCAGCAGCTTGGTGCTGTGAGTGGCTGTAAAGATTACAGCCACTATAACATACCTGCTCAATTCTGACTGCATCAATGATCAGCTCCTGGACACGGTCTTCTGATGGCTTGTGCACAAGGTGTTTGAACATAAGACAAGCAAAATCTGTGTGCAAACCCTGCAAGACAGAGGTCCAGAGAGACCAGTTAGCACATGCATAAAATCCAATAGAAAAAGAAAAAAAGTAAGCTTTTGGGGACAAGGGAGCATGCTTACCTCATCTCTGCTGATTAGTTCATTAGAGAATGTGAGACCAGGCATCAACCCTCGCTTCTTCAGCCAGAAGATGGCTGCAAATGATCCAGAGAAAAAGATTCCCTCCACAGCAGCAAATGCAACCACACGCTCACCTACCAAAAACAGAATTGTTGGCACTCTAGCATACACAATACAGAAGTACATTTTTGGAAGTGAAAACATTTATGCTGATGGTATCACAAAATTCTGCAGGCAGTGAGTAAAGTCTAAAGGTGCCCATACACCTTACGATTATCGGACGAAACTTTTCCCCATCCTGCCCCGATGATCACAAGAATCATTTAGCCGTAATTAACCAAAAGCACCTGGACGAAATGTGGTAATTGATTTGCCGTATTTTCGTTAGCGCAAGCGCAGTGTACATCGTACGACTTGACAGATGGAAACGCCAGCAACCTTACGACAAACGTACGATCTAGCAAAGTTTTCAAACATGCTTGACCGTCAAAAGTCGTACGATTGTACAGTACTATCGGTCGGACACTGCAATGCACACATACGATTAGCGGACGAAAAGTCGATCGCATACGATTATCGTCAGCTAATCGTAAGGTGTATGGGCACCTTAAGAGCTATGAGTATTACACATATCCAGCTTCTGTAGGACACCAAAGACAGCTGTTACTACAGAAGTATTGATGGAGCAACTGGTAAGAAGTCACTGAACACAGTAGGGACAGACCAGGTATAGACCCACCTGATACCAGCAGCACCCATAGCTCTTACAGAGCAGAGATTCTACTCCCCACCTGCTTACTATAAACTCATTTATAGGTTGCTGATTTTTTTTGTAAAAACAGGTTTGCTTAAAACAATTCCATCCAGGAGTTTGACCCATTTGATGTTTTGTCCTCGACATGCACAAAAACAGGGGAGGGGAGTCAGAGGGACAAGGCACATACAGTAATAAGACCAGTTGTGGGTAGAGCTAAACCCTATCCACTGCATCAAGCCTTCCCCCTCCAATTGAAGTGCCCCTCAAACACTACACATTGACTAAGCTACCAGGACATGGGTGTCAGCTGGCAGAGACATTGAGCCACATGATCAAGCTTTGAGTTCTCACCATAGGTTGCATTTTTATCACTAATCCAGCGGAGTGCCCATTCCGCCTTCCTCTTCACACATGGCAGCGTTTCAATTGCATTGAACAAGAAGTCCCTGAAGTTGAAAAAAAAAAAAGTGGTTTTAGAACAGGACTGAACTACGTAAAGGTTTGCGTTTTCAGTCAGCATCCCTGCTAGCACAGCAGTCTTACCTCTCTTTGGGATCTTTAACATATGTGTCAATGAGAAGGCTGTACATCTCCGAATGAATGTTCTCCATTGCAATTTGAAATCCATAGAAACAGCGCGCTTCTGTGACTTGTATTTCCTGACTGAAACGCTCGACCTGTAGGAACACCACACATTAGTAAAGTCAGGGCTCAAGTTATTACATTAAATTTTTAGCTACAACTTATTTCCAGTTAGATGTAAACAGTAAAACACATTGGTCCATGCCAAATAATGTGGCGATTAGTGAATGCTGACCATTGGGATTTTTGTTACAAGTTTCTGCTAATTAAGTCTGCTGCATTGCAGAGCCAACCATACTAAACACTGACATTTCTAGATTCCATTTAAATTTGTTATTGAGGCCGAGAAGGAAGAGTGTAGGGAGATTAACTTCTCTAAAACTAGACACCGGCAATAGGTCTGGCCACACAGCCCATGTAAGAGGCATGTTCCATCTATCATTTGAAGTCGAGGTTCTGACAAGCATCAGGGCCTCACTTTTGTTCAGATTAGGTTTATGCTGTGGCTATGCATCCATTAACTAGAACTGAGCACTACACTGAGAGGCTCATCTATCAGTTGCTTCATTAAAGTGATCAATCGGTGGTGAGTATTGCCGACACCCTAGGAGAGGTTTGTCTGACCCAGGTACGCATGTACTAACCAAGTTCTCATTTACAATTCCGTCACTGGCAGCAAAGAAAGCCAACACGTGTGAGATAAACCACTTCTCATCCTCCTTCAAAGATTCCCAGTGCAGAAGATCTTTTGAGAGGTCAACCTAGAATACAAAAAAGTTCATCAAAAACCATGCAAGAGCCAAATTAGCAGGGAGATTTGCCGTATTTGTTATAGCGCAAGCGCAGTGTACATCGTACGACTTGACAGATGGAAACGCCAGCAACCTTACGACAAACGTACGATCTAGCAAAGTTTTCAAACATGCTTGACCGTCAAAAGTCGTACGATTGTACAGTACTATCGGTCGGACACTGCAATGCACACATACGATTAGCGGACGAAAAGTCGATCGCATACGATTATCGTCAGCTAATCGTAAGGTGTATGGGCACCTTAAGAGCTATGAGTATTACACATATCCAGCTTCTGTAGGACACCAAAGACAGCTGTTACTACAGAAGTATTGATGGAGCAACTGGTAAGAAGTCACTGAACACAGTAGGGACAGACCAGGTATAGACCCACCTGATACCAGCAGCACCCATAGCTCTTACAGAGCAGAGATTCTACTCCCCACCTGCTTACTATAAACTCATTTATAGGTTGCTGATTTTTTTTGTAAAAACAGGTTTGCTTAAAACAATTCCATCCAGGAGTTTGACCCATTTGATGTTTTGTCCTCGACATGCACAAAAACAGGGGAGGGGAGTCAGAGGGACAAGGCACATACAGTAATAAGACCAGTTGTGGGTAGAGCTAAACCCTATCCACTGCATCAAGCCTTCCCCCTCCAATTGAAGTGCCCCTCAAACACTACACATTGACTAAGCTACCAGGACATGGGTGTCAGCTGGCAGAGACATTGAGCCACATGATCAAGCTTTGAGTTCTCACCATAGGTTGCATTTTTATCACTAATCCAGCGGAGTGCCCATTCCGCCTTCCTCTTCACACATGGCAGCGTTTCAATTGCATTGAACAAGAAGTCCCTGAAGTTGAAAAAAAAAAAAGTGGTTTTAGAACAGGACTGAACTACGTAAAGGTTTGCGTTTTCAGTCAGCATCCCTGCTAGCACAGCAGTCTTACCTCTCTTTGGGATCTTTAACATATGTGTCAATGAGAAGGCTGTACATCTCCGAATGAATGTTCTCCATTGCAATTTGAAATCCATAGAAACAGCGCGCTTCTGTGACTTGTATTTCCTGACTGAAACGCTCGACCTGTAGGAACACCACACATTAGTAAAGTCAGGGCTCAAGTTATTACATTAAATTTTTAGCTACAACTTATTTCCAGTTAGATGTAAACAGTAAAACACATTGGTCCATGCCAAATAATGTGGCGATTAGTGAATGCTGACCATTGGGATTTTTGTTACAAGTTTCTGCTAATTAAGTCTGCTGCATTGCAGAGCCAACCATACTAAACACTGACATTTCTAGATTCCATTTAAATTTGTTATTGAGGCCGAGAAGGAAGAGTGTAGGGAGATTAACTTCTCTAAAACTAGACACCGGCAATAGGTCTGGCCACACAGCCCATGTAAGAGGCATGTTCCATCTATCATTTGAAGTCGAGGTTCTGACAAGCATCAGGGCCTCACTTTTGTTCAGATTAGGTTTATGCTGTGGCTATGCATCCATTAACTAGAACTGAGCACTACACTGAGAGGCTCATCTATCAGTTGCTTCATTAAAGTGATCAATCGGTGGTGAGTATTGCCGACACCCTAGGAGAGGTTTGTCTGACCCAGGTACGCATGTACTAACCAAGTTCTCATTTACAATTCCGTCACTGGCAGCAAAGAAAGCCAACACGTGTGAGATAAACCACTTCTCATCCTCCTTCAAAGATTCCCAGTGCAGAAGATCTTTTGAGAGGTCAACCTAGAATACAAAAAAGTTCATCAAAAACCATGCAAGAGCCAAATTAGCAGGGGACAAATCCTAAAAAACCTAGATTAGACTAGAACATTGGTTTACCTTAGAGGCTGGCAATATAATGTGCTAGAAACAATGAATGAAGGTTTGCCAGTGTCTGCAGAGCAGGCAGCTTCCTATTGCCATACGAAAGCAGGAAAAAAAAAAAAAGGTCCTTGCATGGTGTGCTATATTTTACATAGCAAGTACTTAGTAGCACACTGTTGCACTGTAGTATTTTCTGCATGATAGTGTTTCAGGGGCACATTTAGATGGCACATTATTTCAACTGTATATTATCTGTCCAGACTTACCTCTTCTACAGTCCAGAATGAGGCTTCTGCCTTCTTGTACATCTGCCAGATATCATGATACTGGATTGGGAAAATGACAAAGCGGTTGGGGTTGTCTCTCAGGAGGGGCTCGTCTTGAATACTTGGGTTCTTCTGCTCCTTAGGCTTTACCTACAAAGAAAGTCACATAATGATAACTGCTACAATCTGCATTTTAAAGGGCAAGACAAAGCGCAGATACACCTTCATACCTCTTAAAGCTAATGGTCACTTAAACAAGGATTTTCCCCTCTTGCATGTTAAACACTACATGTTATTGACCACTGTAGGTGACAGGGTACCTGGTAGATTAGTCCCTGTTCACAACTTGCATTCCATGAGCACACATGTTCATGCACACTCATCCCCATTGATTTTAATGGGTGCCACAACCAGCGTGGGAAAGTAGCTCATGTAAGATTCTGCTGCAGGCACTGTGTTCTCACTACACATTTGTGCATTTAATGTGCGGGCAACACACATAACAGGTAATGGCACTGCAAGCACGTTGCATACTTTGTGACTACAGATTGATGGAATGTGAAGGTGTGAACAGGGACAGACTTTCAGGGCTGGTTCACACCAGCCAGCCACTTGTTTGCACTAGAAGGAACAGTGCTGGTGCGCTGATTGTGGCTTATAGCAGTTTACTTTTGTTAAAGCTTTACGGAAACATTGCATTGAACTCTAGTCACTTCAGCAGCATTGTGATGGTTTGCATCACAACAAGAGGGGACTTTTCAAGCACACACACACGTGCAATGTTGTGGCGCACTGACCCATGAGGCTTTTTTTTGCCTTATCAATACACTGGCAGCCTTGCCCAGCACATCTGGCGTTAATGGCCCCTCACTGTATAGAAAGTCTTATGAAGGCAGAAGTATAAGAGCAGTGCCCCAGTGCAGGGCAGATATTGTAGAGCAGTAAAGGTAAACTAGGTCAGCAAGAATATATTCGAGCGAGCAGTTTGCATTAACATTGCAGTGGGTGGTGGCATCTTACTACATATCCTAGGGAGAGGTTATGGTACACACTGGTCACTTCCTGAAAGAGCAGAAGAATGAATGAGGGAAGTCTGTCAAGTGACACCTCCATGGGCGGGAGGAAGGAAGCCAGGGGGGAGAACAAAAAGCCTACATGCAAGTGTTGGAACTGTCCCCAGGCTTGCACAGCTGATTAGCAACACTGCCGGCCATTACACAGCACACAGAGCCCCACCTAACTATGCAGGGAAGCAGACCAGGGATTAGAGGACAGAACTACAATACTGTGACTTCCACCTACTGCGCTACTTACCGGTTCATTCTCGGCATCCTGGAAGATCTTGCGGGCCGTCTTACTGGCCAGGACCCGGGTGTTGCTCAGAGAAGGCGGCTGGAAAAAAAAAATACAAAAATCAAGACGGAAAATTAATGCAGAAGCAAAAAGCAATCCAATAGTAAGCAATTATTCAGAGCAGCCATATCCACTCTGAAGTCTTGCCTGACTTCACTCAACTAGCCAGACAGGATCAGGCTGATATAATGGAGGTCAGTCCCTGGCATTCAGGCAAGAGGGGGGGGGGCTATATTGGGGTCCACCCCTGTACTCAGCACATGCACTAGTAAGGTCAATCCCTGCACCCGGGAGAAATAATGCAGCCCAGTCCCTGCACCCAGCCCAGAGGGGGGGATATAATAAAGCCCAGTCCCTGCAACTATATTGGGGTCCACCCCTGTACTCAGCACAGGGGGGGCAGCACATGCACTAGTAAGAGGTCAATCCCTGCACCCGGGAGAAATAATGCAGCCTAGTCCCTGCACCCAGCCCAGAGGGGGGGATATAATAAAGCCCAGTCCCTGCACCCAGCCCAGAAGGAGGGGGGGAATAATACAGCCCAGTCCCTCCACCCAGCCCAGAGGGGGGGGGGGAATAATACAGCCCAGTCCCTCCACCCAGCCCAGAGGGGGGGGGGGAATAATACAGCCCAGTCCCTCCACCCAGCCCAGAGGGGGGGGGGGAATAATACAGCCCAGTCCCTCCACCCAGCCCAGAGGGGGGGGGGGAATAATACAGCCCAGTCCCTCCACCCAGCCCAGAGGGGGGGGGGGAATAATACAGCCCAGTCCCTCCACCCAGCCCAGAGGGGGGGGGGGAATAATACAGCCCAGTCCCTCCACCCAGCCCAGAGGGGGGGGGGGAATAATACAGCCCAGTCCCTCCACCCAGCCCAGAGGGGGGGGGGGAATAATACAGCCCAGTCCCTCCACCCAGCCCAGAGGGGGGGGGGGAATAATACAGCCCAGTCCCTCCACCCAGCCCAGAGGGGGGGGGGGAATAATACAGCCCAGTCCCTCCACCCAGCCCAGAGGGGGGGGGGGAATAATACAGCCCAGTCCCTCCACCCAGCCCAGAGGGGGGGGGGGAATAATACAGCCCAGTCCCTCCACCCAGCCCAGAGGGGGGGGGGGAATAATACAGCCCAGTCCCTCCACCCAGCCCAGAGGGGGGGGGGGAATAATACAGCCCAGTCCCTCCACCCAGCCCAGAGGGGGGGGGGGAATAATACAGCCCAGTCCCTCCACCCAGCCCAGAGGGGGGGGGGGAATAATACAGCCCAGTCCCTCCACCCAGCCCAGAGGGGGGGGGGGAATAATACAGCCCAGTCCCTCCACCCAGCCCAGAGGGGGGGGGGGAATAATACAGCCCAGTCCCTCCACCCAGCCCAGAGGGGGGGGGGGAATAATACAGCCCAGTCCCTCCACCCAGCCCAGAGGGGGGGGGGGAATAATACAGCCCAGTCCCTCCACCCAGCCCAGAGGGGGGGGGGGAATAATACAGCCCAGTCCCTCCACCCAGCCCAGAGGGGGGGGGGGAATAATACAGCCCAGTCCCTCCACCCAGCCCAGAGGGGGGGGGGATAATACAGCCCAGTCCCCCGGGAGAAATAATTGAGAAGCTCAGTCCCTGCAGATCTACATAACACCTCCCGTCCCATTCCGACCTTACAGCTTTCCCTCCTAAACCCCTCGGCCTCTCATTGTACCATCTTCCCTCCACATCCGATGAGCAATGCTAAGCTCAGTCTCTCCCCCTCAAGTCTCACATAGAATCCTCCCTGTCACATCCCATTTCCCCCCAGAAAGCGGACCCACCGTGTTCTCTTTGTCCACCAGGCTCAGGTTCTTCATGGGGGACATGTTCTCATTCACAGCTCCGAGAGGTTTGCGGGAAGCCAGCATGGTGACAGGAGGTAGACGAGCGGGAAGATGCGGCAGTGAACAGAGGCGGGAGCCGGTGACTGTGTACTGAGCAGGGGGAAGATTAAGTAACACGGCCAACCGGCGTCCCTATTTATGGCCAGTTTGCATTTGGCGCCGGGACAGCAATAGCCAATCAATAGTAAGGACGGCCTTCTTTAATTAGAGATGATTGGCCAGAGCTGATGGAGAGAATCCAGGCTCCACCAATCAGATCTGCGACGGGGAGCCAGCTGTTACCTAACCTGTATGTGAAAAAGCGCGCACTTTTCACACAATGGGTTATACATGTACAAAGATATATATACACACGTACATGTACAAAAATATACCCACACGTATATATGTACATAGTCCTGGTGGACCGCTGTGCCTCACAGTCACATACTATAACACAGTCAGTGGGATTTATCAAAAGCTGGAGATTTGCACTGCAGCCAATCAGCATCTCTCTCTCATTCTCAAATTTTACCTGAGCAAACTAGAGAGATGCTGATTGGTTACTATGGGCATCTGCTCCAGATTCTGTTTGCTCCAGTTTTGATAAATTCCCCCCAGTGTGCTATAAAACTTATGAAAGTACAATCACATACATATGGTAGAGGTTTCCCCCTCCGTCAGTTCGGGATGAGGCGCCTCTCCTCAACCTCCCCCCTCCCTTTCATGGTGGTTACACAACACATGCAAGGCTGCCATTACACACAGTTATGCACCCTGACTGCGGGTCCTCATGGTGGTTACACAACACAATATACATGAGGCGAAACTTTGAATGGAGGACATTGCATGGACTTCCGAGCAGGGTTGTTGCCGTTCACAACCGGTGTTATGTCTCTTTAATGTTTCCATTTTTAACATTGGGCAGCATTACAGAACACGGCTCATCGAGGATGTGTAACGCTATCATTCGGTATAAATTTCCACACGGGGGGGATTTAATAATGAAGAGATAACGCGCCCCTTCATCATTTAAATCCCCCGTCGGGTAAAGCGCGGGTTAACTGCTTTCCCGCCAGAACGCCAGATTAGGTTGTCTGACAGGAGAGGAGACACCAAGTCAGATTGAAATTTTGCGCGCTTTCCTGACGTCACTAAGCTGCTCGAAAACCATCTCCAATCAGCTACGCGCTCGCTGTCACGTGCGTTCCACACAATGAGGGACCGGAAGTAAATAGGAGGGTTTTTTTTCCCGCGTGGAGTGCTGGTCTGTTGGCTTGGCTCGTCACTATGACAACCAGGTAGTAGCTGGGTGCCCATGGATGGAAGTAGGGGAGCCGCAGAGTATTTTCAATGAAGGGGGAAGCACAGGGAGGTGCTGAAGGCTTTCTATATTTATCGAGAATGAGCTATGTATGGTGGTGCCTCGACCACACTTGTGTCTATACTTCTGACTGGTGGTGGGATTCCAGGGACATTCCCAGATTTTCTAGGGTTGTTCATGAAAATATGAAATGATCAGATCATGTGTTCAATCTTGGAACTTAGATTACAGGACATGAGACGTGTGAACGCCTGGCTCAGATATGCTGAACTATCATACAACAAGCATACAGAGTATTTGCTGATTGGCCACAACCCAAATAATAACCAGCGCCTCCTGTAACACATGAAAAATTAATGACTAAAGGAGAACTATGAGGTGAGTGCTTTTCACTCACCTCATAGTTCTAGCCGACCTGTGACGACTATACAGTGATTACTTTATCCCGATCAGCCCCCCCCTTCAATGGGAGCACATGTAACATGCATTATTGTACATTTTAGTGCAACCCCATTCCCCACCCCCAGCAACCTATACTTCACCTACATTGGCTAAAATACATTAAAATGTATGAGAAACTTGCTAACAACAAATGGCAAAGCTGAGACACACTGGTGAAGGGAAACTGATGCAATGTTACACAATGACCCTGACACCTGGATACAAAATAACACCGGGTATATTTGTTACATTCAGATGTATGTTCTGCCCTTGCCTTTTATAGAGGCATACATGTACACACTAGCCCTAAAGTGTCTTGATCACACGCCAAAAAACTTCAGCTTCAGTTTTTTTTTCATGAAAGAGAATCCTTTTACATAACCAGTCCCCTTCCCCCACTCCCTCCCTCTGTCTGCTCCAAGCGTTGTGTTAGCAGTTCTGGTTTTAATGACCTACTGCTGGGCAGTCATGCTTTGTTTCATGTCATAAGGAAAGACGCCCCACATGCATGACGCTTCCAGTTTCCAGTATTTTCACTTGTTTTGCCATATGAAGGTGTTTTATCTGCTACGTGCTGCCCGAGACATCGCAGAAGAGGATCAGAATTTCAGATTCATTAATTAAATTCACCACTGATAGCCAGCCAGAAGGTGTGTGTGTATACACACACACACACACACACTTTGGCCAAAAAAGCAAATCACACACTATGTTGTTGGACGGCCTTTAGCTTTGATTACGGCGCACATTCGCCGTGGCATTGTCTTGATAAGCTTATGCAATGTCACAACATTTTTTTCCATCCAGAGATGCATTCATTTTTCACCAAGATCTTGTAGTGATGATGGGAGAGTTGGACCACTGTGTAAAGTCTTCTCCAGCACAAAGATTCTCAATGGGGTTAAGGTCTGGACTCTGTGGTGGCCAATCCATGTGTGACAATTAGGGATGCACAGATACTTTTCGAGTACCAGTGCCGATACTTGGCATTTTCATGAGAACTACCAGGGTTGCAGCTGGGACCTGGCTCTGGCGCTCCACCACTGTCCTGAAGTCATTAGTCTTTATTGTTTTAGAAAAACTGTCGCATGACAATAAACAAAAATGTATCAGTACTTGTAAGTATTCGGCAAGTACCAGTACTCGTACTCGCAAAACTGGTATCTGTGCATCCCTTTATTTATATTTATAAAAACAAAATCGTACATTAAAACAGAGATGCACAAATCCCAGGAGCTCAGTGTGCTCCTTACACATGACAGCTGCCTCCTAATTTTTGAATTTTTCTCTAGTGTAGTCCTGAAGCTCAAAAGTATTGGTACTTGTACCGAGTACTGTACTTGGTATCTGTGCAACCCTAGTGACAATTATGTCTCACCCTCCCTGAACCACTCTTTCACAATCTGAGCCCGATGAATCCTGACATTGTCATCTTGGAATATGCCCAATGTGCCATCAGGGAAGAGAAAAACCTGGTCATTCAGGGAGGCAGCTGACCTAATTTTTTGGGAACATAACGTTGCTGAACCTAGACCTGGCCAACTGAAGCAACTCCAGATCATAACACTTATCCAATGAAAGGCTCTGACCTATTTGCCTAGCTCAATCCAGTTGGTAACTTTTTGTGGCCAGGCTGTGTGTATGTATTATATATATATCTACACATATACACTAAGTGGCCAGATTATTATGACCACCCCATCAGTACTTCGTTGGGCCACCTTTTGCCTTCAATACTGCGGCGATTCTTCTTGGCATTGACTACACGAGATGATGAAAGGTGATGCGAGGAATCTGACACCATGCCTGATGAATAGCACTGTCCAGTTCTGTGAGATTTGATGGTTGTGGAACCAGCTGCCTGATGGCTCTTTCAACTTCGTCCCACAAATGCTCAATTGGATTGAGATCTGGTGATTGTGGGGGCCACCTAAGCAAGGTAAATTCTCCCTCATGTTCTTGAAACCACTCCTGCACAGTACGAGCACCGTGGCATGGCGCATTGTCTTGTTGGAAGAAGCCATCTTCATTGGGATACGCCATCAACATGATAGGATGAACTTGATCAGCAACGATACTTTGGTATGTTGTGCTATTCAGACGTTGTTCCACACGAATTAAAGGGCCCAAATCATGCCAGGAAAACATGCCCCAAACCATAACACTGCCCCCACCAGCTTGAAGGGTTGTACTCATGCATGTGGGGTGCATGCTTTCATGCTGTTTCTGCCAAATTCTCACTCTGCCATCTGCATGATGCAGCTGGTAACGTGATTCATCGGACCACATTACTTTTTTCCAATGCGAATTGGAGACGTTTTATCTTGTTAACTGCAGACAGCCAAGGTGTTCCAACAGGCCTTCAGCTTCCATATCCTATACAATGCAGTGTACAGCGAACAGTGCGTTCAGAGATCATTTGAGAGGATTCCTGATTTAAGATCTGCAGTAATTTGATGCACTGTTGCCCTTCTGTTGTCTTGTACCAGTCTTGCCACTCTCCGTTCTGCCCTAACATTGACTAGTCGCTGACGGC